GGAGGTAGTACTGATTAGCTATCTCAAGGGGGAATTAAATAAATCAATGATCAGCTCGCAACAGCCCAAAAATAAAAACAATTACCAATACCGTACGGAAACATAGAGGAGCACATGCAGAGCTAATGTAATGGTGTAATCCTGCAGAAAAAAGGACTCAAAAGTAGCTGGTCTATGGTAAATTGGGGAGCGAACATTGAGCTTGGCAAAGCGTACATACATATAGAAGTTGTCCTCGACCGGGCCGTACCTTCGATCGGGCACAAATTAACGAAATGACAGGATCGACATGAGGGTCTACCAGCACATGGCAGAAGAGATGAGACCGATCGAAAGGCCGCCTCACCTCAGTACCTCACCTCGCATCGCAGGCATCTGTTAACAAACACTGTACTGTACCCTGCCCCGACAGCCGTCCGACCAATGTCTGCACAGCTGTGTGTGATCGGGATGTGGAAACTCCGTACCATTTCATTTCAGCATAGATAAAAGCAGCCTCCAGTCCAAGCCAGCCAACCCAAGCTTCATACATTTTTCACCTTTAGGCTATTTTAAAAAACTTATTATACAAATAGATATATTTTTTTAAAAAAAATCTTATTTTAGGAATATATTTTGTTCACAGCACCAACGTCATTGGCACGGTACTCACGGCGCTAATAATGTTAGGGCCATCCCCCTCACCTCTTAGTGAAAGTTGTCACTCATGTCGTTTGATTTTTTTTAAAATGACCTATTTGTAATAAAAAAAATTATTTGGAATAAAATATATTTACAGATAGGTCCTTGGCGACAATGACACTGTCACCGAAGATCTATCTATAAATATTTTTTTATTACGAATAGGTACTTTTAAAAAAAATACAAATAGATTCTTAACATCAACGGCATTGGTGTCGTTATCTTTACATTGGTGACTTAGCTTCTGCCGGGGGTTAAGAGAACGGTGCCAATGCTATTGACGTCGTTGTGTTGGACACGTTGTCAATAGTGTTGGCGGCATAAAAATGGTCTATTTCTAAAATAAGATTTTTTTAGGGATCTGTTTGTAGAATAAATATTATAAAAGATGAAAAGGCGAAAATTTTCTCCCTGATTCCAAATTTCATGGTGAACTGACGAACCATTCACACCTTCTTCCAACAATTAAAGATATTATGGATAGTGGGCTCACCATGCTCAGAGGAGTGTACACTCTACAATTGATGGATTCCAGCACAATTTATTTTTCTTGACTTAGAACTCCCAGTAAGGTCACTCAGATCTGTGGTCCTCTTATTTCTTTTTTTTTTCAGGTTAATTTGGGTCTGGGGTTATATATAACTAGGTGAAACCCTTTCACCTAGCACATTGTTGTGAAAATTTAGTAGAATAATAAGTATAAATAATAAGATGGCCAGATGACATAAGTTTTTATAAGTTGTTGTAGTTTATAATAATTTAAATAATATATAGAATGATGATCCAAACATAAAAATATGGTGACGTGGCTTTATGAGAGAATAAAATGAGAGATAATTTGGATCATAGGTTAGTTATCTAACAGTTACAAACAATTAATGTGATATGGCTTAATAGGAAATTAAAGAGAGAAATAACTATTAACTAAATAACAATGAACAATATAGTTATATAGAATATTGTAAAAAATGATGGAGATATATCTTGAAATAATATGTGAATCAGGTAGGATGATGCTTTAAATTCTTGCATTTTAAAGCTTTAAAATTTAATAAATTATATAGATAATATAATATGCTTATTATATGAGGTCTAAGCTGTAATAGTTGTTAGTCAATAATGATGCGTGGCATTTTTACATGTTGAGTTTTAGGGTGCAGTGGGTTGTAATTTATTGATAGGATTAAGTACAAAACTTTGTGGCTCTTAGCATCCTTGAACGATGCCGATCTGACGGATAGTAGTAGACAACCACAGCGTGCCAAGCTGATTATTGGGGGTCCTTTTCGAGGCTGTTCAGATTGTAGTTAAAATAAACCTTACTAAATTTTAGCAAGTTGGTCATATTACCGAAATTTTGGCTGGATTTCTTATGTTTTTACCGAAGTTTGGCAACAAAATAATTGTAGATATTTTTTTATAACTTTATCAAAAATTAGTATGGTTGAAAATGGCTTCAATGTAAACAGGCTGCCTTATAGTAAACCAGCCTCCTCCTCTTCTTTCTTTTCGATTACAGAAAACAAATGAAAGGTCGGCTGCATCCAGTATTAGCATGCAGCGCTCTGGCAGAAAAAAAAAGAAAAGGCCAGGACAGGTTTCTCATTGCCATAATTTCCAGTGAGGCTAATTTAATTAATTTGTCCCCCAAGAACGTAGTCCAATTCAATACGGGTGGATTGAGCACATATGTCACACAGAATGCGGAAAAGCTATCGCGCGAACGTTCGCGGAAATTGGTTCACGCGAACGCCCCTTTTCCGGATCGCTTCTGTATACTAACTGATTAGATTGTTGTAATTTCAGATCACCCACTAATTAGATTCTGGAGATATACAACATGGGTCTTGTGGGCCATAGTAGTTTAAGTTGACATCTTTATCTTATTTTTACTTTTTTGTTTCTTTTGTGAAATTATTTTTTATTCTAGTTTGTTATTTATTTTGTGATCACAAAATATGTATTCATTTTTAAAACATAACACAACAGCAAAATTTATCTTTGAATATTTTTTTTCACTATTATTTAGAGAAGGAATTTTAAATCATATATAAACTTTACATGTGGAAAGTTTACATGTGTAAAGTTTACATATAAAATGTTACTGAAAATTACTATGCATAAAGTTAGTACATGTAAACTTTATGCGAATAAAGTTACATGTATAAAATAGAATTGTTTATGTTAGATTTTAGTCTAAATGAGAAAAGAAAAGGCCCGGATATGCTTTAGCTAGCTAGTGGGCCCGGGAAGATTTTGCATATGCATAGGCTATTTGTGGGCTAGAGCAACTTGTGAGCAAGAGGAGACACGCGTTCGCTCGACGCGAACAGTCGCGTACTAGACTCACCCCACAGAGTATCGATCTGCCTATTCCCTACTTATACTGTTAACACCCATATTTCATATCTAAATTCAGAAAAGACCGGATTCCCTTAACGGGCCGATCAAACCGCCACCAATAGGCCGGTCGGTCAGACTAGCAGTGTAGAGCCGGTCTGACCGGCTGAGTACGAGTCGATTTCTGTCAGGTCTTGGGTTTTGATTCTTGCATGAGGAGGTATTTTTCGAGTTCTAATTGGTCTCTACCCTGAGTTTGATATGGAGGAGGTCCAGTAAGAGGCAAGACCAAGCCCTTTATAAGGATCAAGGCCAGTTCAATTGGACAAATGATGTATTTTTAGCGCAATTAGCCAATTAAATTGTTTTTTTCAATATCGCATCTACTTTTTTGCCTAATTCTATCTTTGTTTCATCAATCTTTATCGATTTGCACCGTAAATCATCCGTCTTCATTGCGAGAGTGTGAAATCCCTTTGTGGGTTTCTCTTGTAAAGTTTCCGTTCGCCCACAAGATGTGGTGTTTATTCTTTGTTCCATCTAAATCAGCTCCGCTAGTCGGTTTAGTTCTAGAAAACCCATTGTAACATACCCGAATTTTAGGATGAAGAAATTTTCGTCAAAACTAGTTGAAAGGAAAGTTCTCCAATTTTGTGAACCAAAAAATTCCATTTTAAACCTAGGGGAAGTTGACCTAACTCACGTAACTAAATAAAATTTGAGAGCAAATTAAAACTTTTTCATTTATAACCTAGGACAAAAAAATGTAAACTTATGTGTAAGCATGCATACTCTCATAGGACATGTTTTGACTTGAGTCCTTCATATGCTTTTGGATTTTTGATTTGCATTTCATAATAGGTCTCATCAATAATAACTAAAATCTAAAATCTAGATAAACAACTAAACCATTAGGGCTTAGTGCTAGCTAGAGGAAGTTAAAATAGGAACCATACACGTTAAAATAAATCAATATGGCTAATGTCAATTCCCACAAAACTATTTTGGCCACCCATCTGAAGACAAGTCATGAACATGGAAGTGAACAAATAAATTAACTCATATAGGGTATATTCTATCTTAATCATCTCGATAAGTATTCTCTTAATTTAATACTAAAGTAAACTTATACATAAATAGGTAAGGAGCCTGTGACATATGTAAGGTAAACTGTAATTCTAAAATATCAGCATCACCTCAGGTTAAGTAGAGTCCAAATAAAACTTTCATAAGTATTTACATTCATTTAGGAAAGGGAAACACATATACAAAGATAAGTCTTGCTAATTATCTAAAATAATTTGAGCAAGATAAAAATCATGGAAAAATTCATATAGGCTCTACTTAACATATACAACTCACTGTATTTTTGGTGCAATTTAATAACTAAATTTGATACCTCAAATGAATCAGTCAAACCAGTCAAATAATAGACTGAATATAGTTCTTAATCGGTTAAAACCATACCTAACTAAAATGTGCATTTAACTGCATGTAAGTGTATAGCGAAAATAATTTATCCAAATACTAGGTTAATTAACATGAATAAATATAATTTTTCCAGAATTTATCTTCTCTGTTTAGGTCTCCTAAAAATCCAATCTAGCATTTAAATAGCCCATATTTGTCTAATTTCTGTGAGCAGTCTACCCATTATTTTTGAGTGCAACCAAATAAAATGGAATCTAGGTGTAATCATCTACCTCCAGTAAAATCAACACTAGATAATCTGGTATACTTATGAAGCTACAAAGTTAGAGGAGAAAATAATTCCGAAAATTAATCTAAAAATCAAATTTACCCAGTCTTCTACCCATCTCTCTCTCCCTAGCCTAGTTTCCATCGAGTTGGCCCCACTTGTCAGTGCCTTAGGCTAGCTTCAGCCTTGTCCATCACTTCCTCCACCGTCCACCCGAGAGAGGGAGAGATTGAGCGAGCCGACGCGTGGCCACAACGTGTCGTCGACCTCGGTTTCCCTTTTCTCGCTCTCTTCTCCGCCAGTCTGAGTCGCCATTCTTCACTGTCCACCCCTAAGCCGAAGAAACCCAGGGAGAGAGCTCCAACTCTCCCTCTCCACCTCTCTTTCGTCGTCGGCCGCCGAAAAGGGGGACGCCGCCGATCGCCAACGAGTCGTCTCCATCCCTATCTGATTCACGTTCTATTATCTTCTCTCCATGCCGAGCAAATCCTCTTTTGACTCCATCTTGTTTCGTCCACTGCAGCGACGGGAACGCGACCTCGTCTACGGGAGCTCTGGAGCGCGCTCCAAGCGCCGCCGCAGCCGACATCGTCGCCGTTCCGAGCGCTGTAGACCGAGCCAAGCCGAGCCGTCACGCCAACGCCTTCTCCTTGAAGTCCTCCTCAAAACCCCTCAATAATCCCAGGCAATGGCGCAGCAAGTGCGGAGATCGGCCACCGTCTTCTTCACCTCCGGTTGCCGTCGCCATTGTCGTTTCCGCCTCCTCCGGTGAGCCATTGTTGGATTACTCGCGCACAAACCATCCCTGTGACCTCACAACCTTCGTGCATGCCTTCCTATAGCAGCTCGTCGTCCCGTTCGAGCCGTCGCCGTTCACCCGCAGAAGGACGCCGTCGCCGGGAGGATGCGCGAGCCGTTGCTGTCACCAAGACCCCGGAAAAGTTCAACCTAACCCGCGGTGAGCACCCTAGAGCCTGGAAGACCACATGCATGCATCCCTTTGAGTACATCCAGTCTATAGCACGACATGCACCACCACCCGAAAACTTCCTCTGCTCGGACTCGCCGCTGGCGCTACTCCGATGTCTTCTGTCTGAGAAATGTATAGGAATGGAATCGCAATAGCATGCCCTTCATTTTCTATTTTGGTCGCAACCCCAACGGAGTCACCGTTTGTCGCCGACACCGGCGAGCAGAGATGCAGCCCATGGCTGCTCTGCTGCTTATCGAATGGGAAAAGGAGACAGGGACCTCGTTTGGAGAATTTAAACAACTATAAGGCTCATTATGTAATGTTTCCACTCAATGGCATATGGGCCTAGGACTGCGGGTTGATTTCCTGAAACACTAGGGGTCTTTTTGCATATTGGCCTGAGACTGACAGTGCACCCCTAGGAACAAAATCTGAAATTATAAAAGAACAGTAACTAAAATTGTAAAATCCATATAAAATTAAATATAGCTCACTTTAAGATGATTCAAATTTCTGTGAACTCAACAAATTGGGAACTTTGATGTTATCGAATAAAAACTTGCACTCACAGTACAAATTTAGCCTCTAAAATTTATCCAAGTTAAATCACACATCAAGCATGCACAAACTTATAAAATGCGTACAAAATTCATTTCAACTCATTTCAGAGCAAACTTAATTTCTACAGATCCACCAACATGTTCTCTAAAAAAATTAAAATATAACATATACACATTTTACATCAAATGCCTCTAAAACTATTATCTTTAAAATAACTAGTTTTATATAAGCTGAACTTTAGAAGTTCATATAAAATTCATCTTAGATCCTTTTTGAGTAAACCCAAGTTCTGTAGAATCATCAAAACATATACTTCCATGTTATAAAATAAAATTATACACCTACTGTGTAATAAAAGCCTTTAAGTATTTATGTAAGTAATAACCAACATCGAGCAACCTTTAATTTGTAAAATTTGTAGAAAATTCATCTTTAGTCCAAATGGAGTGAACTAAGTTTCTATGAAACCAGCAAAGATTGAACTTTTACCTAGCAAAGTAAAATATGGCACCCTCTGTGCAGGTTACAGCTCAACTTTAAATTTATATAGGATAGGTGCTAATCACATAGTATTGATTAAGCAATACATATATACAAATGCATATAGAAACACACTCTAGCTATAATGAAACCCAAATAAAACTTGTTGGACCAATGAGGGCATAGATCCATCCCCTTCCACCAAAACTTAGCAAACTTAACTCATATAACAATTTCTAGGTTGGTGTGTTAAGTAACTAACATAGAACATCCCTAATTATAAAAATGTGTAGTAAAATAATATAAACTCTAAAATTATGAACTAAGATTAGATTAGTTAACTAAAATACTCATTTTATATATCACTAGCTAGATGAGGCAAGTTCTGGACCTAAACCTCTAAAGCCATGAATCTATATAACACTATACACCTATAACACGTTATAACTTGTAAAATACATAAAGAATTCATATTAACTCCAAAAATTGTGAAACCAAATGTGTTAGTCTTAGAAAACACATATGTTCACTCAGCAAACATAAACTTAATAAAAATCACCTTACAACAGCATTTCACAATAGTACCTAAATAAATCCTACACTATACCGATGAAACTTGTAAAATTCATAACTCTCAAATGAAATGATATAAAATAGAAATTCTTTCACCTAAATTCATTTTAGACCAGTAACTATCCACTGTGCATAAATCATACATTTTAGAGCATTTTGGATTTTTCGCATATTTCGGTGTTTAATTGCATAACGTGTACTTTGTATAGATGATTGCTTAATCGGTGAAGAAGTGATTTAGGTGTTGACTTTTTCCAGTTACAAGGCAAGTCCCACCTCCCTCTCTTTGATCACTTTGAACCTATGTTTTGGAGGTTATTGAAAATGTTTGCAAATCTTGCATGCCGATTGTACGCTAATAAATTAAAATTTTGTTAAACTTGTTAGACAAACTCCTATTATTTGCATTATCACCTTAACCCCACATATATCCTTATCTATCATTCCTAACCTTAGGAACAATATGACTATACCACTTCATATATGAGTTTTGGAGTCACTAGGTTACTATAATGCTTAGCCATGCTTAGAATGGTCTTCCTTATTATTATGGGCTCATTACAAACATGAAAATTGATTTTGAAATAATCTGGACAGAACTTTAATACTTGTAATTTTGATAAATAAAATAATGGAAAACATGGATTTTAGGTTTGGGCCTCAAGTGGTGCACATATGGTGATTACTTGTGTACCGATAGGGGGAGAGTGCGCCCAAACCGACCTAAGGACTTCACTCAATGTCAGTTCATTTCGTATACAGTACAACCACATGTGCTAGTATTGGATAGCCCAAGCTTAGTAAACTATTTATGGTTTAGCCTTACATTCTGGTAGGCCGGTGTGTGTGAGTTCGGATAACTCAGAGGAACTTCCTATTTACCCCGGTGTGGTAGTTTAGGTGACTAAGTCTGTCCAATACAATGGTATTGTGCCACGTGGGTGGGTTCCCGTTGTGTCCGCCACCACGGCGTTAAGTTTAAGGCATGGGCCCGCCACTTAACGGTTCTAGGTCATATAATGGGTATGGCTTAGGATGGAGTAACACGTATCGTGCTGGTGTAAGGCTAAATCATGAATTTTGGAAAAGCTTTGTTGTGAGTAATAAATCGGGTACTTATGTATCGCGTGCCATGCTCTTGCATGATTATTATTTCGCATCATGTGGGTAAAGTGTACAAACTCTGCAGAGTTAAAACTAATCGATTAGCCGTGCTCGCGGTCATGAGCGGCGTGTGGATATGTGTTGAGTATAGACTTGTGTTTATTCTTCTAAATGCTGAAATTTACCTTCAAATTGTGATGAAATTTAAGAATGAACTCCTTGCTGCCATGGATGGCAATGAGGTGTATATTTATACATGACTAATGACTACTTTGATGCCCATATATGTCAAGTACTAGCTTGCTGAAATTTATTTGAAAGCAAATCTGATTTGGAAATGTTTTATGCAAATAAAATTTGCTTTATGCTAAAAAGAACCATACTATGCCTTTCTTGATTACATGTGCAAGTAGGATGTTAGGCTTGTCTTGGTGCTTGCCAGTACATTATTTTTAATAATGTACTAACTCTTATTGTTGAATTAACCTTTTACTTGCAGGTTTTAGATTTAGTCTTTGAGTGATGCGGGTAATCGACTGTTTCTTCTAGGACTTGAACTTAATGGGGTAAACCCCTAGTCGGTGTGCTTGTGGATTGGGTAGACAAGCTTCCGTTGTTCTCTCATGTGTCTATTTGGCCGGTCGGCCTATGTAATTATTAAGTTGTTGTAAGTCTTAAGTTTCTTTCATCTTAGTTGTGTTTGCTATGTATAATCATGCTTAAGATGAAAGTGTGGATCTAGTGCACATCCTAAGAATTCACATGAGTATGAGTTAGAAATATTTGAGAGGTTGTAGATCTTTAGCCATTTTGTCAAGTCTAAATCTCCTGAATGTGTAACACATCTGGTCGCCACCTTCGAGTGGTTTGACGGGCACATCTCAGGCTGAAGTTGACTGGCAAGCTAAAGGTCCAGCAATGTCTCTAATATTCCTCTCTCGAGACGTCGGATGTTTCATTATGATTGTTTGATGACTTGAATTATTTACATCATCCCTCAATTATAATGGAAGGTCCGGAGAGCCTACGACACCTATTCTATTTAGTTTTTACTAGATTGAGGTGGTTGGTTACTCCATATCACTCCAAGAAGTTTTGATGTCTTGCTCGTGATTATTTTCTTGCAAAAAAAAAAGTTGCCAACAGATACAAACAAAAACCTAACCACTATCTAGTTTGTGAAGTAGTACTAATCACTAGATACACATAACCATGGAGGATTGAGTTTCAATAGCCAAGTAATAATCCATTTTGTTCGTATTCATTTTCAAGTGAGTTGGGAGTTCTAAAACTTGTTTATTGAATCGACCAGTAATCATGAAGTACTGTACATCCTTTTTTTTAAGGGTATGTACATCTTTTCGTTTAGTAGTTGGCATATATAGTTTGTATAAATTTACAAAAAGAATTCCAGATCGATCAATATCAATGCCTGCAATTTTACTTCACCTAGGAAGATTTTCACACCACAAGTTATTGATCCCTATAAAACTGAAATTATAAAGCTTGAATATAGGCATCGGAGTTGTTTTGCTTCTGCGCCAGGTTTCTTCTAATACTAGCATGCAAAACTGAGGTTCAGTCGTCGTTGCCAATGGTAGTCTACCGATTTTTTTATATATAATAATTAATAACCCCGTAATTAAATATTTGGTAATTGCGTGCAAGTAATTAGTAAAGTAGGATGGACGTTGTTTTTGTTAGCGTCCAGATGTGGACGCTATTCTCTAGAGCGTGCAGGTCTGAACGTTATTGTGAACAGCGTCCACCATACGGGTGCAGTCGAACCGTGCCAAACCGGCCCGAACGTATCCACCTAAAACCAATCAGCGCCGAAATAACTGCCGTTCCCTAGCGACCGCATCCTGGCCTCCTCGGCAATCCCTCATCGCCACCGGCGGGCAGCAAAGGCGGCGCAGTATTCGTCACCAATCGCACACGGCTAGCTGATGACACGCCTTGCCACGAAGGACTCCATCAGCATCGCCTTTGCCTGTGCGGCTGACCGGCTGTGCCGCCGGCAGCTAGCACACACTAGAGATTCATCACGCGAGTACATATTCACTTTCATCTCCATTGATCATATTGTTGAACATATATTTGGCATTAAATTTCTTCCAATCACAAGTTTTCCCTCCTACGTGCTTGACTTTTCGCAGCCTACGGAGATCGGCCTCTCCATGTGGATGAGGTAGTAGAATCATTTGTTTTCTTTCAAATTGTCTCATTACCCTATTGGGATAATGGAACTCCACTACTCAGCCTTCATCTTTGCAATTGAAAGAAATCCAATATTTTCTAGAGCTGATTGGTAAAGTGGGTGGTAAGGAATTCCATGGTGATGACGCCATATATTCATGGAACCACTAGGCTGTATGCATGAAAACATAGAACAATTACTTAAGGAGATTAGCATGAATAGATGAGAAAAAAAACAGATTTCAACAGGTACGGCAAACTGAAAAAATACTTAGATTTTCTTCAATGGTAGATATTTAGTGCTGGCCATGAGGCACCATAGTAAATCACTGAACTGATCACGCTATCAGCATTTTTTTTATAAGCTGTAATCAATGTGAATTGCTGAGAATTTATATTACCAATGCAAAGATATGGTGAATGTAAAAATGTAATGAGCAATTCAGTATTTTGGAAACAACTCCCATGACAAATCTAATATAACTAATTATGTATTTCTTTAATCCACATTATCACAACAATCAAGCATATCAAGATGGACATATATAGGATGGTATAATCACACATGTATTACGGAAAGAACTGACTATGCATGCAAACAACCGGCACTTACACTACACGTGGAGGCGTACGGCGGAGGAGACCACCAGGGAATGGGATGTGTGGGCAAGTGGCAGTGCCGGCGAACCCCCACAAGCGTCTGAGGCAGGCAGCGTTGGTGGACGGGCGGGCGTCGCCCTTGCGCGTGGAGGAGAGCAGCGGCAGCGGATGGGCGGCGCTGCCGAGAACGAGGGCTGCGACGGCCGGCACCTTCGTGCGATTGGACGCGCAACGGTGGCGGATGGATGGGCGACGCTGTTCCGCGCGTGGAGGACTTTCCGGGCAGTGGCGTCGCCAAGAAAGGTTCCTCTTCCTGTTTTTCTTTTTTTTTTCCTTTTTCATTTTGCTTCTGTTCGTACTGGACCGCCGGACCGACCTAGGCGACCGGTCATATGCTGGACGTAGTTAGCCAGAGCGTCCAGCTCTGGACGATTTTACAAACAGCGTCCAGATGTGGACGCTGTATTCTTCAGCGTCCATCCTATTATTAAAAATCCCAACTTTAATTTACCAGATATTTAATTATGGAGTTATTAATTATTATATTAAAAAAATTCGGGGTAGTCTAGCTAGGTTAACATTGGTGGGAGAATGCAATATTACAATATACACTACTTATTTAGCAAATTAAGAGATGTATGTATGGCTAGTATACTAGTAAACTATATATATAGCAGTAGAATATACCAACATGGAAATACATGTTTCCTATCTGTCGTGTCTGATGCAAGAGCAGACACAACGACGCTAATACTGTTCGTCCAATAAGAATCCATGCCATGACGTACTGACATGATTCTGCTCCTCTGTCCAATGTGAATACCAAATGTTTAGGATTGAAGGACTGGCACTGTAGGAAAACTCAAAGAAAAAAAAACATTGCGGAAATTATTAACTAATGCTGGTGGAAGATGACAGACGAGGAAACAGGAAGGTGGAAAACAGAGGAAGATGGGAAAAAGAAAAGGAGAAAGAAACAAAAAGGAGGAAAAAAAAGAGGGTAGGTAGGGAGATTAAGAGAAGAGACCTTCTTAAAAAGTAATGAACAGATGGAAAATTTCCCAATGAATAAAATTGAAAATTTTAATTTTAAACTCTTAGTTATGGACTAAAGAAACTCCAAGGAAAATGCGAAAACTGAAGAAAACATGATAACACAAGAAGAAGAAGAAGAAAAAGCGGACAACTGAAAATCTATCTATCTATCTATCTTTCTATCTATCTATACCTATATTAATCGGGCACTTTCTATGAGTTCCCACGTTAATCAGAAAGATATAAGCATTGAATTAACACATCATAATGTCGGGACTGTTGATTTTAATCTGTGTTTAGGATATCATATCTCATGAGCTTCTTTTAGGAATCTAACACATGCGTGTTTTGAGAGCCCATTCAATAAGTGTTGAACTCCGATCCAATTCAGGGTTCTTTTAGTTGATCCGATCCAATTATGTTACAATACGTGCTCGATCATATATCTTATCCGGCCTCTCCGATATACCGATCAACCACGACTCCATCTACCATCGACGTCCTATATACCCTGGCGTGGATTTCAGCCGGGTGTCGAATATAGCGGATGATTCTTTCTGATGTGCATGCAGGTCGACGACACAACTTGATCAGCTACATCAGCACGGCCATGAGGAGCGAGCCGCATGCGCGTGTCAGATTGTCTTGCACCGCACCTCCATCGTCTTCGTAATCTCGCCGGTCGGTTCGAGCTCCTGGCGACTTGGCAAGCTCCTACCCGCCACGCATGCTGAAACAGCAAAGAACGTATGTCTTTTTTATTAATATATAATATGCCACCAACCTTTTTCAGCCAGATCCACATGATTAAAATTAGTGTCTCCAGAGATTTAATAATTAAGAAGATTGCTTTGGGGGCACCTGTTTGACAGAGGGGAAAAAAGGGCCCATTATATCGATACGCGACACATGAAGTGCATATTTGAGTCACTCTATACGAGAGATTTCTTAATTTTCTAGCTGTGTGAAAGAGCATCCATATATATTTCTACTTGAACCACAGATATATAGCTAGCAGGTAATGTTATGTCATGTGATGCACTAATCCTGATTCGGTCGACCTAAGGATGTTCTGTCTTTTGGTCGATCTTAGGACATGTTCTTAACGAATCTTTTTGTGTTTTACCAGAAGTCACATGCATGCAGCCCACGCTTGCAGTGCTGCAGAAGCTGAGGAGCGGACGAGGCCATCTACATGTTAAGCAGATTAGCATGGTTCAGCGACAAGGTGATCATGCAAGGTTTTATTTAAAGAATATCATATGGTACGTAAAACCAGGTTAGGTGCTTTTCTTCCTTTTAGAAAAAATGAAATAGGCTTTTTCATCTGTGATTTTAGTTAACAAATTCAAGCATTAATGGTATGCGCTATTTTCTTTATCACACTTTAATTAATACAGCCGGCGGCCGGTGTTCTTATTGATATATATCAAATAAAAATATTTGTTACATGTTTTACTTGACAGGCCCAAATTATAAAAGATCATATTGGAAAAATAGTCGATTGGAGGTACAACTTGGTGATGATTAATTGTTCTGCGTAGTTTACATGCACATAACATTAATTAGTTTTCCTTAATGCAGTCCACATGTTTTTTTTATATTGCCTTCAGAGTAGACCAAATCAGAGACAAGAGCTACCCTTCAATAAAGTTTAAATTTTTAGAATTTTTAAATTACAAATTACTAAACCACAAAGTATTACTAAACATAAAATAATTTGTTTTCAACTATAAAAGCGCTAATTTTGTGACTATAAATTTCAGGACTTCGTTTTGAATATGAATGCGTATGAAATGGACAACTAATTATTAGATTAAGTTATAATGTAACTTCTTGACAGCAGTAACTCGG